TCCCTTGCTGCTTTTAATATTTGTTCTTTGTGTTTGATCTTTGTTAATTTGATTAATATGTGTCTTGGGGTGTTTTGCCTTGGGTTTATCCTGTTTGGGACTCTCTGGGTGTCTTGGACTTGGGTAGCTATTTCCTTCCCCATTTTAGAGAAGTTTTCAGCTATTATCTCCTCGAGTATCTTCTCATGGCCTTTCTTTTTGTCGTCTTCTTCTGGGACTCCTATGATTCGAATGTTGGGGCATTTCACGTTGTCCCAGCGGTCCCTGAGGTTGTCCTCATTTCTTTTGATTCTTTTTTCTTTTTTCCTCTCTGCTTCATTTATTTCCACCATTTTATCTTCTACCTCACTTATCCTATCTTCTGTCTCCGTTATTCTACTCATGGTTCCCTCCAGAGTGTTTTTGATCTCATTTATTGCATTATTCATTTTTAATGGACTCTTTTTTATTTCTTCTAGGTCCTTGTTAAACATTTCTTGCATCTTCTTAATCTTTGTCTCCAGGCTATTTATCTGTAACTCCATTTTGCTTTCAAGATTTTGGATCATTTTTTATTATCATTATTCTAAATTCTTTTTCAGGTAGATTCCCTATCTCTTTCTCTTTTGTTTGACCTGGTGGGCATTTTTCATGTTCCTTTACCTGTTGGGTATTTCTCTGCCTTTTCATCTTGTTTAGATTGCTGTGTCTGGAGTGGGCTTTCTGTATTCTGGTGGTCTGTGGTTCGTTTTTATTGTGGAGGTTTCACCCAGTGGGTGGGGTTGGACGATTGGTTTGTCAAGGTTTCCTGGTTAGGGAAGCTTGTGTCAGTGTTCTTGTGGGTGGAATTGGATTTCTTCTCTCTGGAGTGCAATGGAGTGCCCAGTAATGAGTTTTTGAGATGGGTCTATGTGTTAGCTGTGACTTTGGGGAGCCTGTATGTTGACACTCAGGTCTATGTTCCTGTGTTGCTAAAGAATTTGTGTGGTATGTCTTGTTCTGGAGCTTATTGGCTCTTGGGTGGTGGTTGGTTTTGGTGTAGGTATGGAGGCTTTTGGATGGTCTCTTATTACTTAATGTTCCATGTAGTCAGGAGTTTTCTGGTGTTCTCAGGTTTTGGGCTTAAGCCTCCTGCCTCTGGATTTCAGTTTTATTCTTCCAATAGTCTCAAGACTTCTCCAACTATACAGCACTGATAATAAAACTTCTAGGTTAATGGTGAAAAGATTCTCCACCATGAGGGACACCCAGAGAGGTTCACAGAGTTACATGAAAAAGAGGAGAGGGAGGAGGGAGATAGAGATGAGCAGGAGGAGAAAAAGGGGGACTCAAGAGGAGAGAGATAGATCTACGCAGTTATCTGTTCCCAAAGTGTTCTCTGTAGCCCAGATACCCACAAAGATTCACAGAATTGGATTGGGAAGAGAAGGGGAAAGGAGGAAATAGAGGTGTTCTGAGGTAGAAAACAGAGAGTCAAAAGTGGGAGAGAGTAATCAACACACTCCTGAATAGAAGAAATGGGAACTGAATATTGGATTCTTAAGTGTCCAAAATTTATATCACATACTGAAAAACAAAGATTAAAAATCTAGCATAGAGGTTAGACTCTTTAAAATACTATATTTAAAAACAAAAACACACAAAAAATTTAGAAATATATATGAAGTTTGGTTTAAAAATAGGGCTTCTTTTTTTTTTTTTTGCAAGGTTATAGTGAAATGAAAATGAAAATTAAGGAATAATAGAAGAGTATTAGAGGACTTTAAAAGGAAATAAGAGAGAAAAACAAGAAAAAGAAAAAACAAGAAAAAAAACCAAAAAAACCCAAATTTTTTTCCCTAATTAAAAAAATCGTAAAAATATATGAAAATGAAAGTTAAGGAGTAATGGGGGAGTAATAGGGAATTTTAAAAGAAAATAGAGAAAAAATAGAAAAGGAAAGAAAAAAAATTTTTTTTTAATTAAAAAAAATATATATATGTATCTAGGAATTTCTCCAGAGTTGTTGTGGTCAGTGTGGGTTCAGTTCAGTTTCAGATAGCTCCTCATTCCAGCTTACACTTCTCAATATCTATAGGCCCCTTCTGGTGTAGTCAGTGTTACCTAGAGGGATTTAAATCTGTTGCACAGGTCCTTTCTGAAGTGGTTCCCTTTGTTTATTTGGCTTCTGTTTGCCGTCTCTTTGGCACAGGCGGGCGGAGGTGATCTCTTATGTAGGTTTGCTAGTTCAGTCCTGCTACAGGGAGGGCGGGGCACTGCAGACAGATATCGTTGTGTGTGGGGAGCACTCACCGTGTTCCGGCCACACTGGGTTTGCCCTTGCTCATGGGTGTCTGTGCTTTCCCATCTACACTGCTCAGGCTCCCGGCTGCTCTATAGGGAGCGTGCCCTGCATTGTGTGTGGTTCCAGTTTTCGGGTACTCCACAAAAGCGCAGGCTCCACAGAAGCGCGGACTCGGTTGCGCCTGCGTTTTGTGCCTTCCCCAGCCTGAGCGGCTCAGGCAGCCAGGAGCTTGATGGGTGCACTCTCCCCGGGTGCGGCGCGCCTTCTCTCCTCCGCAGCCCCAGCCTCAGTTTCTGCGCGCGCAGGTAGGGTGCCAGCGGCTTGTGTTTGTTCTCATGAGCTGGCCTCTAGCCAAGACCCTCCCAGCGGCGGATGTCTACCATCCAGAATCTCAGGAAGTCTTTGGATAGAAACTGGAGGCCTGTTTGCATTGTGGGAGGGGATGCTGTCTCTGGGGCCGAGTTTGCCCCTTTCCCCTCCCCGCTGCCTCCTACCTCCAGCGGGGATGGGCCGGTCCCCCGCAGGCTAGCTCTTCTCTGGAGTTTCTCAGTCTCTTTGTTTTGCGAACAGCTGGCAGTGTGTTCGGGCCGGTTAATTTTCTCTCTTGCTATCCCACAGTTTAAAAAAGCTCCCTCCGATTGCTCTCAGGGCACTCAGGCCCAGTCCTTCCCCTAAGCAATGCCGCCCGCTCTTCTCCGTTCCGCCCCCATTTGCTGGTGGCGGATGCAGGCGTCTGGGGTACTTTTCTGCTGGGAGTTGCTTTTAGGCACGTAATCTGTGGGCCTTATTTAATTTTTCCTCCCAGTTAGGTTGCCCTCCGAGATTTGAAAACTTCCCCCAGACCCGCCAGTGTGAAGGTTTCCTGGTGATTGGAAACTTCCTCTATTAAGACTCCCTTCCCGGGATGGGTCTCCATCCCTAGCTCTTTTGTCTCTCTTTTTATCTTTTATATTTTGTCCTACCTCCTTTCAAAGACAATGGGTTGCTTTTCTGGGCACCTGATGTCCTCTGCTAGCGATCAGAAGTTGTTTTGTGAGGTTTGCTCTGTGTTCAATTGTTCTTTCGATGAATTTGTAGGGGAGAAAGTGGTCTCCCCGTCCTATTCCTCCACCATCTTGGCTCTTCCCTCTTAACATTTCTTACAACAAGAAAAGAATTGTGATTGTGTGTGTTACCCCAAACCCCAAGATCAGGGGGCTAGAATGCTACCAGTGTGTCATTGCCTCCAGGGCCTCTCAGAGTACAGAGTTAGGGACTGTGTGTATGTATGTGAGTGAATGTGTAAACACATATCTAATTATTCCCCTGTACTCTATATATTTAAAATGTAGTTTTTTGTTTTTATTTAACAAAGCCCATAAATGTAGGATTATAATTAGAGATGTGTAATTTGGATGTACAGTTGAGCATCTGAGCAGAGCAGAGAGAATTTGGATATATGTCACTGTCCTTTTAATTTTTAGCAGGTGGCTAAACCCCTTGTTTAAAATTGGTCACGAACAGAAATTAACACAAGATGACAAGTACTTGGTGCTTCCAGAAGATTGCTCCCAGCACCTTGGAGAAGAGCTGCAAGGGTGAGCACAGACATCAGGGAGAAGGGGAGGAAGAGTGAGAATTTCCACGTGGGGCTAGAGGTGTGGGGGAGGCTTTGCTTCCTCTGGGTTCTTCTGAGTCTCCTCCCCTGACTCTGCATGCACACCCTCTCAGGCTGACCCCAGGCTTAGCCCACTTTGGAGGCTGGGGGAGCCCATGTTCCCTGTGCATCTGTGAATGTGGAGGGAGCCCACAGCCACGGCCCTGGAGGCCAAGCTCTGTCCCTGGAGGTGGGGTCCCTGGTAGAGGGAGTCTGCCCCCCTGAGCGGCTCATGAACTGTGAGTCCAGCAAAGTTTGGAAGGAACTTGTTTCTAGAATTGGGACTTTTTCCCTCAAAGCCTTTTATTCTTGTGCTTCAGGGTCTGTACTGCTCATCTTTCAGGAGCCCTGAGTGCAGTTTGCGAGCATCCATGGGGCCCCACAGAGCACCCTGTAGTGAAGGCCCATCTCCCACTCCGCCCCTCCCTGTTTCCCTGTGGTGGACACGCTGTTCTTCACTGTGCTCTGTTTCTCATCGCAGGTACTGGGATCAGGAAGTTTTGAGAGCCAAGACACACAAACGGGAGCCTTCTTTAATGAAAGCAATTGTAAAGTGTTACTGGAAATCCTGTCTAGTTTTAGGAATCTTTACGTTTCTTGAGGTAAAAATTTTTACATACTGTTCGTTGCTTCTCAGTGTATGCAGATCAGTACTGAGATGGATGTGATGGTAGGGAGAGAGGACAGCAGTTTGTCACAGGATAAATCTCATCATGATGTAGCTCAGTGGTTGTGTTTATTTTTAGGATGGACAGATGCTTAAAGGACTGAGTCTCCAGGGGATTAGTACTAAGTTGGCCAAAATTTCCTTCAGGTTTTCCCATAACAGCTTATGGGAAAGGATGGCACCGACAAGATAAGACATTTTATACCATATTAGGACATTTCTGGAGAAGGAAATGGCAACCCACTCCAGTGTTCTTGCCTGGAGAATCCCAGGGACGGCGGAGCCTGGTGGGCTGCCGTCTATGGGGTCGCACAGAGTCGGACACGACTGAAGTGACTTAGCAGCAGCAGGACATTTTTAGTGCTCAGTACCTGATATAAATGCTGAAAGTGATCCTTGAGAAAAATATCCTACAACCTCAAGGAATATGAGCCTCCTGGTTTGGAGGAAGTAAATTTGGATCAGAGCCCAGTAACATAAGGCATTTTATAGGTGCTCCAGCAAGTAATTGTTAACTTGCCCAGGTCACATCTGATAAATGATTTCCTAAAAAGGGGTCCTCGCTTCTTCTGTTCTTGTGGAACAGAAGTCTGGGCCCTGCATCTGGGCAGGAGCTGCCAGAGCTCCAAGAGCACACCCTTCCCTGAGCTGCACCCTCCCCGTGGGCCAGGTCACCCAGGCCAGAAACCCCGTGGGGAGGAGCTCCAGCTTCACCATGAATTCATGCACCCTCTATGCTGGTTTCTTTCCCTGGTTGTGGGAGCAGATTCCTGGTTGAAGGGTGATCCTGGTAGCCAGGCATTGGCAGAGGGTGTAGGAGGGGAAGTGCAGGGCAAACCAGAGACAGAAAGCTGTGAGGTCAGTGACCTCCGTGACGCTGAAGATCCTGGGTCAAGACCCCCCAGTGAGACAGTCCCCCTGGGGACACAGTGCCGGCAGCCCCCTGTTCTGGCTGAGCCTGCTGGAGGTCTGCTGCAGCCCCCCCTGGGTGGCTCGTGCTCTCTGTGGCCCCTTAGTGCTGCCTTAGGGACATGGGTGGCCTGTGAGTGTGTGAGAGCAGGAGGGATGGAAGATGCAGTTGCTGTGAAAGGGGTGTTTTAGGTGAAGAAGGTGTGAGCTGTCATCAGTCTATTGTGTTGGGGTGAGGTGGGTGGGCCAGGTGGTTCTTGTTTAAAGGCTGTGCTGTACTGAAGGGCACGGCGGGCAGTGGGCAGCTGGGCAGGTGAAGTCCACCTCACTCAACTGGAGAGACAAAGGATCTGTCAGCTCCCAGGGGACTGGGTGGTCCTGGGGGATGGAGTTCTCACTGATGTCAGAAGAGGATTGGCCATTGTGCCAGAGGGTGGACAGGTGTGTGGGGCAGAGTGCCACGTTAGAGAGGGCACTGACCACTGAGATATTGTACTGCCTTGTGAAGGGTGGGGTGGACTGTTGATTTCACAGTTTTCCAGCCCCAGTAACACTTCTTGCTGGGGATCCAGGAAGGCTAGGCCTGGGGGCTGCATAAGGTGCAACTGGTAGAGCCCAGGCCCCTCTTTTAGGAGGCTGGTTGTTGGGCGGTCATGGCAGAGAAGTGGGGAGTCGAGGACCTGGTAAATGTGGGGGCTCATCTCAGTAGTAGTGCTACAAGTACTAGTGGTAGTAACAAGGGGTCGTCCTGAGTAGTACTGGTGGTGGCAGCTGCAGTGCTATTAGTAGTGCAGTAATAGCAATAGTAAGTACTCAAAATAAGTTATGTATCAGGAACTGCTATGAGCACTTTATGTGTAATAACATTTTAATTCTTTTGGCTAACTCAACAAAGTTGTAGGTGTCCTATTACCCCCATGCTGAAGAAAGGACTCTGAACCCAAGTGATTACATAGGTTGTGTGTAGTTACAGGGAGCTTAAAAGACAAAGTGTGGTTCCATTTTAGGCACTCTGGCTTACAAGCCTGATCATCTCAATGACTAAGAGCTTGTCCAGGGTCAGGAAGGCTTGTATTGAGAGCTTTGTCTTCAGGGTCTCGACACATGCATCATGAACTTTGTTTCAGTTCAGTTTAGTTGCTCAGTCCTGTCTGACTCTTTGCAACCCCATGAATCGCAGCATGCCAGGCCTCCCTGTCCATCACCAACTCCCGGAGTTTACCCAAATTCATGTCCATCGAGTCGGTGATGTCATCCAGCCATCTCATCCTCTGTTGTCCCCTTCTCCTCCTGTCCCCAATCCCTCCCAGCATCAGGGTCTTTTCCAATGAGTCAGCTCTTCACATCAGTTGACCAAAGTATTGGAATTTCAACTTCAGCATCAGTCCTTCCAATGAACACCCAGGACTCATCTCCTTCAGGATGGACTGGTTGGATCTCCTTGCAGTCCAAGGGACTCTCAAGAGTCTTTTCCAACACCACAGTTCAAAGGCATCAATTCTTCAGCGCTCAGCTTTCTTCACAGTCCAACTCTCACATCCATACATGACCACTGGAAAACCATAGCCTTGACTAGACGGACCTTTGTTGGCAAAGTAATGTCTCTGCTTTTTAACATGCTATCTAGGTTGGTTATAACTTTCCTTCCAAGGAATAAGTGTCTTTCAATTTCATGGCTGCAATCACCATGTGCAGTGGCTTTGTTTAAGGATAATAAATAGGATGCTAAGAACTTCCTGGAGCAGGAAGTCAGATTTGGGATCCTAACTGTGGGTAGATTTTAGGTGACCACGTCCCTCGGGGGCCAGATTTGACTAGGATGTTGATGAAAGGTTGTTGCTGAATAATATGATGCCAGGATTCTTGGCCTCTGGAGGAGACGAATTCAATCTGGGGCCAGAGACGAGGCTGGATCGCTCAGAGCTTTTGTGTAATAAAGTTTTATTAAAGTATAAAGGAGAAAGAGAAAGCTTCTGACATAGGCATCAGAAGGGGGCAAAAGAGTACCCCCCTCCTAGTCTTTAGCTGTATGTTATATAGTCACTCACAGTCTGCTAATGAAAAGAAAGGAATGTCATAAAATTTAGAATAGCACCAGATAATTCATCCCTGGCCATAAAACGATTGACTTGAATCTTGTAGAAAGGCAGAATACCAAAAAATAGTTTCGTTTACATAGATTAGGGGACCAATACCTGAGTAAGTAAGTTAGGCCATTTGGCGGAACCAACTTGAAAATAGAGTCTGGGGTACATTAACATAGCTTAAGACAACATTTCCATAAGAAAAAGAAATGTATTGGTTAACTCAGGGTTTGAGAGTAGTTAGCTTTAGGTGAGACCAGGTGTCATGGCAACACAGCATTTTAAGAGAAACCTCCTTTTAAATTTGTATAGAGAAGGAAAAACATATCGCTGGTTTTTTTCCTCCTGCCGCTTAAGAGAGAGAAAAATGTCTGGCACTTGCAGCCTCTTTCCTCCATTTGGAGACCCCTGGCCTTCCTGCCTGTTACCCTCTCACTGATGCCAGCAACAACGTCATGCTGTGGTCAGATGAACCAGGAACCTTTTAAGAAACCAGCTTCCCCTCATTACCATCCCTAAGTGGTGATAATTTTAGATAGTGGAAGATCTAAACTCAGCTCTGGATTCTCTAAAACATGAACACATTTACTTTGTGACGTCTTGCCCTCTTTTAATTCCTCCGGTGGACAGGACGACTCATGGGTTACCCATGGTTTCCAGATGGTGCTGTGACCAACCACAGCACAGGCACTCCTGGCAGTACCGGTAGGAAGAGGCAGGCAATGCCAGTCCAGAGTGAGGATTCTGGGGTTAGGATTTCAAAGTGTGAAACCTCTGTCCTGTGAGAATTGAGGAGTGATCATAATGCTTGGGGAAGCCAGAACCAGGCTAATGTTCAACCTGGAGCATGTGCAGGTCACCCCTAATTAGAACAGAACAGCCAGCGAGTTCTCAGCACCCTGGCCCCTGTGTGCACACCCATGGGGACCTTGGGTGGGGAGAACAGGTCTCTGCCTGTCCAGGGCCCTCAGGGTGGAGAGGAGGTGCCTGAAGACTCTTCCTGGACCAGAGAGACAGAGACCACTCCCCAGGTCATCAGGGCTTCTCTCGGAGAGGTGAGGTCTCCACCTGCTGGTGTGTAAGTGGGGTGACCCCAGAGAACCAGAGTGAGTTCACCCAGTCCCTTCCCCTGAGAGGGGCGGAGTGACCAGTGTTTATGTCCTCTTCCCGAGAACCTTAGAAATGGCCTGGCCTTGTCTAATTACTGACCTTTGTCCAAGGCCACTTTTGCTGGTCATCTCTGCTTTAGGTGGATAATGTAGGAAGCACATATTTGTGTAAATCTTCACTTTGGAGCTCAACTGATGAGCAGGAAGTAAGCAGAATCCCACAGTGGGCTTTGTGCCTGGACTCACTCCTGGAGGGCTGCGTGGTCTTTTCATTTATTTCCCAACCTTTTCTTCCATGTGTCCCTCACTTCTGCCCCACCCAGGAGACTGAGGAGTGGTTGCTTGTGGCAGAGGTACTGTGGGCTCAGAGCAACCGCTGAGGACCACACAGAAAGGGAGAGGAGGAGGGGGCACTGAGCCAAGCACACAGGGACCTGCAGAGCAGACCTGCCCTGCTTATTCTGAAAGCATAGCATTAGCCATCAGATGTTAGTAATATCCACAGTGATTACCTTGAGACATATATGAGGGTGATGCTTTTCAATTCATTTCTTAAAAAAAATCTGTGTTGTCTCATTGAAAAAAAGTTTTAAAAATTTAAGTATGATTGACTTACAATATTATATTAGTTGCAAGTGTATAGCGTAGTGACTCAGATTTTTGTATTATTTTGATAATTAAATATTATTTTGATTATTAGATGATCACCCTGATCAGTCTAGTTATCCTCTGTCACCATACAAATTTTTCCAATGTTATTGACTGTATTCCCTATGTTGTACATTACATTCCCATGACTTATTTATTTTATAATTGGTTTATGTCTCTTAATC